TATAGTGGTTACAGAAGTTTATGTGCTTGTCTGTCCAGATACCAGTCAATATATTAGCTGACTCAGCGAATCTTTTTTTTCCGTGGTGTAAAATGGTTCCGATCGGTGAGACACGCTCTTGCACCAGCAGTGACCGATTCCACATGCACCGGTGTCGATGGGGTGTGAACTGCGAGTTGCCTCCCTCCCAGGCGGATTCTTATATAGGGCTGACCGGGAGGGAGGGGGCATAAAACCGGCCTTTAACCGGAGCCCCGTAGATAGGATTTTCTGAACGCGCCACAGATCCACACGTCGTAACAAAATCAATTTTAATTAATTATGTAATTTGTCCTTTAAACTTCTATTTTAAGGGGATCGGTCGGGGCCCGTAACTACCTGCCGCCTGCACCTACCGGTCGGCATCTGCCGCAGAGTGAAGCCCAGAAGGCGTGGGGTGAGGCGGAGGGTCTCCACCAGGGAGCGACTCACGATGTCCTCCCCAGGAACCATGGAGATGGCGGCGCCCTCCGGCCGAGACTGTACACCCGCCGCCCGAAACAAAGCTTTGAGAAGTGCTGGCTATGGCTGTGCTCTTCAGATTCAAGAGTAGACACAGTTAAAACCTTACAAAGAAAAATGCCAGATCTAAAAATTTGGAATTTTGCTTTGTAAAGTTTTAACTGTGATGAGGTCAGTTTTCATCCCGCGTGTGTAATTTGATAGCCACGCACATTGTCTCCGAAGGATTTGTATCCTTCGGGCAGAGGGATGTGCCGGTGCGCCGGTGCGGGTCGTAGTACCTGTCGTGAAACGAAGATGGTCGTCGGCTGACCCTCGGGAGGTGGCCGCCAAGTCTCGCAGGCCGGCTGGAAGACGTCGGCGCCGCGCTCCCAGCGCCCCGCGCCCGCCGGCCATCTGTCCAGCTCGGAGGCCGCGCCGCTGCCGCCCTCTCCCCCGCAGGACGTGAACCCCGAGTACAGGATGGTGGTGCCGTCCGGGGCGGTGAGAGCGACGCGAACCTGTGCGGGGCAGGAGAGCGGGGGCGGGGCAGCCAGCCGTTTGTCTTGAACTTCAGCAACCTGCCAGGAAAACTTACCCACCGGAAAGGCAAGTGCGTACATGTCACACACTTGTAGGTGCTCGAATGCCCATTCGCACACTTCAGAGATTAACTGTGTGAATTTCGTTTTCCTTTGAAATTCACACACCTACGAAAGTGTGCGACATTCAAACACTTGGGTTTCCGTTGTTGTAGGCTGGCTGCAGCGGGCGGTTGAACCTGCTCTTTCAAACTGCTTGCCTCCACAGGAAACGCAAAACGCAAACCCCTTACCTCGAACACGCACGCCGGGAGGACGTACTTGGCGAAGCTCTGCACCAGCCGCAGCCCGGCGGGCTCGTCCTGCGGCGCGGAGGCGACCCACACCAGCGTGCGCACGCCCAGGGCAGAGACCAGCCGGGCCGGCCAGCGCCAGCCGTCCAGCTGCGCCGCATCCTCCACGAGGACCAGCGCCAGGGTGTTGTGCCGCGCCAGGCTCAGCCGGGCTATCCAGGGGTACTTGAGCCCCGCGTCCACCAGGACCACCGCGGCCGGCGGCAGGCCCGCGAGCAGGCACCCCAGCCAGCGGGCGCGGCCTAACAAATAAGGTACCAACATGCCAGGCGCGGATTAAGGGGTCGTCTCTAGAGAGCCGCCTGAAAGGTAGGCAATTTGCGCCACAAAACCCCTGTATGTAGGCAACCGACAGTGCACCCCCCCCCCCTGTCAGCCGGACCTTAATCCGCCCCCGCTACATGCATGGGTTGCAGGGGCTTTGTAGGTCGAATTGTGTCCACCTTAGGCAACTGTATAGAGGGGGCAAGGGAAGGGAGGAAACTCCTCCCCAACTCCCCTACTACGAGCCCTTTTCGCATCGCACTTCTGCCGCTAGTCGTGTAATAGAAGATTTCCTCCCGAAGCAATGCGTGGTAGAATCCTCGCTCACGCCAGCGTCGCCCTGCTCGCGGGGACGCACCTGTGACGTAGAGCTGCGGCGGGTACCCGTCGGTGGTCGCCAGGTGCGGGCTGAGCATCGCCAGGGCCAGGTCGCAGGTCTGCTGCTCGACTTCTGGTAGAGGGGCACCCTCGGGGACGGAAGCGCCCACCCGGACGAGCAGCAGCGCCGCCACCGTGGAGAGCAGCGCGGTGAGCGGGATACCCATAACACGACAGGTTTACGCTATTTTACGCAATTATTTTGTTTTTGAAAACGTCTCTCTGCTGGATGACTGGGTCCATGTAGTCTCATCAGACTTACTTAGTACGTAGAGTGCCGGCCGGAAACTACGAAGCAAAGGTATGTGAAATGTCGCGGCGAAATATTGCTGTATTGAACGGCCGGCGCATGTGACATTTGCTTTGTGATTGACGGTGTTTGCGATGGGCAGTATCTCGATCTTCGCCTTCCCTGATGTTTGCAAGAGTTATTGGGTATACTATGGTTCGGGCCCCGTTTGGTACTCTGCCGCTCCTCTCCGGTAGCGCCAATGCACCTAAATGTGTTACTATTTGTGTGAATTGGTACGCGCATATTGAAGCAATTGAAGCACATTCAATGCGATGGCGCTTCCGGTGCCAGGGGTGTGGGGGCGGGGGCAGTCCACGCCTGCTTAACGTTGCGCTGTATTTAACAGCATTTAATGTGCATTTAGTGTGCACTACGCGCATTTAATGCGTCGACATGTGTCACCTCTTGTGTGCATTTCTATATGCGCATTGAAGCGCATTTCATGCTCTGGCGCTTCTGGGGTAGGCAACCCAGCTCACATCATAGTATGTTAGGCTGCCAGGCTATGCAGAAGGTTGCATACAAGGTGCCTGGAAAGCAACCGGAAAAGTTCGAGTTTCCAACACGCTGTCTCAGCTTCATTTTGATAGGTACAAATATTGAAACGTGAACTGCTCACTGTTGGTTCTATTATTGTTATTTTTTTTTTTTTTTTAACCTTGGGTGATAATTTCTCCAAATGCGCCAAACGCATTAAGTGCTCTTTAATTAATAATGCGCGTAGAAATGCACATAAAAGTTGACACATTAATGCGTCACCAATGTGTCACCTTTAATGTGCATTTATGTGTGCATTTGGTGCATTGAAGTTGAAGCGCTTTTACGCTTTGGCGCTTCAGAGCTGTCTCCTTTCGTACCTTGCGTTATTTGCAGATTACATTATTGCCCCGCTTGTTTTCATGTGTTGTTGTTGTTGCTGTTGTTTGTTGGTTTTGAAACTTTGAAACGAATTAAATCTCAAGTGTGCTCTGCTATTCATTTGGATTCTGTTGGGTCAGTAAAAGAAATGATTTATTATTTACCAGTTTTATGTTCAGAACATATATCATTCATTTTGTGGAATTATTGGGTTATACACTACAACCAGGCTGTTGAGGTTAATTTACTTGTGTTGCAATGACATCTGAGCCGTTTTCATTTTGTGTTTCATGACAGGTCCATCATTAATAAAACAGCATAGGACACCAGGCTGTACTTCATTTTTCTCCATGTCTCAAACCAAGAAACGCAGAGTATATAAATGTGAGGGCAGTGTGTATAAATGTGAGCATTGCTCTCTGACTTTCACTGTCAAATCAAACCTTAATCGTCATCAAGCACAATGCTACCAAAATCCCATGAGAGCTGCTGGCAGCAGGGATTTTCCATGCTATGACTGTGGCGCTGTGTTTTCTAGAGCAGACAATTTGAGATCACACAAAGTTCAAAGAAAATGTAGCAAGGAGTTTGAGAGCTCTGCACCTGATTTAATTGAAGAGAGTCTAGAAATGATGTCTTCTGTGCAGCACAAGTCTCCTCCACATGTAAGCATTGCTGAAACAATCAAGAAATCAAGACCATGCTTTATAGATGGATGTACCTCAAAACTTTTGCCTAGAGCAAGTCTTTCTAGCCATCTTAAAAGTTGTCATCCTGATCTTAAAATTAATGATCCTGTTTACTTTGAGTTTCCTAGCATGACTGAGTTCATGCAGTGGAAAAGGGAAGAGGAGGAGAGAATGTCTTGCTCTTTCTATTCAAAGAAAGGGCAAGGAACATCTGTCCAAATTTATCACTGCCAGTTTAGTAGTGACATAGGTGAAGCACATCCCGCTAACAAGTCTTCTCAAAAATCTTTTCAACCAAGCATCCAATCTACTAAAGCTTGTATAGCTAAAGTTAAGGTTTCTATTTTGTTGGATAAAATCTTGGTTCAGTACCATCCTACTCATATCCATATAAAAAATTCTGTAAACATCACCAAACCCCAATCTTTCTCAGACGAAGACATTTTAGTTCCATCGACTCATGAACAAGATGTAGGCTCCAGGGAAGATCTGTCTGCACCCTCTCAACCAATTCTTGAGAGACATGCTAAAGGAATGCTACTTCCTGACGATTGTGCTGAAGAAATTCTAGAAAATACCTGGTGCTTTCAGTCTGAAACCTGTCAGTCTACAAAGTATCTTGTTGTAAGATGTGAGAAGGATTGTAAATCGGATCATTGCTATTCAAAATGTCAATCAGAGGCATGCCAAGGACTTTGCGCTCATATGTATTCATGTAGCTGTAATGATAGTCACCCTCTGTGCAAACACTTACATAAATTACATTCTTTGTTGGTCAAATATCAAATTTATCCTGAAGATGAGCTGGAAAGAAATCAGTCCGGTATGTCTGCTGATGATTATGGAGCAGAAAATATTATGTCTGAAACCAGTCTATTAAATGTTGTTAATAATTTTGATTGTACCAGATTAGAACATAACACCGAACTACTCATTAATTTTCTTAATTTAGCTAAAGCTGGTCAAGTTTCAGATGACATTCTTTATGATGTCGATACGTCCCTGAATGTCATTGCTCTCAAACTCAAAGATCTCTTTGAGATAAAAGATCAATATTGATAGCTGAACCTTGCATTCTGAGGGGTTTTATCAGTTTTGTCCATCGTACTATTTGCCTCATTTTTTGATATTTATCAGTGTTTCATGGACACTTGTTGATTTTATCATTGAAGTACCAGATCAGACATACATAGTTTATCTATCTACTCATATATGTGATGCAACATTATTTTAATACTTGGCAATTGAACTTGATGAATGTTGAAATAAAATTATGAGACTATACAAGTTTTCGGATGTGTCGTAATTTTGATCACATTACTATCCATTTGTCGAACTCTGTTGACAGATCTAGTTCGAAATAGAGTGGGGTGTAAGGAATAATAGTCATCAGAGGCGGAAACTGATGTTGGCTCTTAAAACCATGCCCATAGGAGGAATTTGAGCACTGACTGTCAGCATGACATCATAATGGTCCCTTATTGGAGGCGGCTCCGATCCGATTGTCCGAAGCTCGATTGTCCGTAAGTTATTTCATTTACCCTTTTCCAGGCCCGGAACTGCAGTTAGGCACCAATTTCTCTAGTTTAGTAAATAAAATAAATAAAGTAGTTGATTACATTATGTTATTTCATTTGGCATAGTTGTTGAAATAAGAGCTGGAAAAGGGTCATAGGGGACCTCCCAAGCACGCCAATGACACTCCCACGACAAATACGATTCGTCTCCAAACGTCGTGTACACGGGCCTGCTTTTGCTTGGGAGGAGTCGCCTTCGCCCCAGGATCCTGGACCTCGCCGCCCCCGACGTAGGCGTCATCGTAAGCCGCGCGCTCCGCAGTGCTTCCGGTGCTTTGTGCAACGCTGGGCACGCCGCACAAGTTGTAAGTTATATTTTTTGAGGCCGAGTAAATGATACCCGTGATGTAAACTTGGCTCACTGTCAACTTTGTTGAAAAGGTGTTGAATAGGTACACTCCTCCATTCCATGCAGTTTGTTAGATACTCTTGTATGTCATTATTTGCTAATGGGTTAACTGTCATGTTTTATCCTATATCATATATTTTACTCAATATTATTCTCGTGGAACAGAAACCTTTTTCACTTTCTGGTTGGGGTGCAAACCGAGTGGTACTATCCCCCAAACAATCAATCAATGTGCGTTGCAGCTAATTTGCAGCTGCCCCTTCGTATACTTAATGCTTGTTTCCCATGCCAAATTAGTTATTTGAAAGACCATGGACACTTAGAGACGTATGGGGGGGGAGGCATTTAAAAGTGTATTGTATGAGTAAATTATATGTAATTAAAAGTTGGTGAGCGCTAAAAGTACCGTTTAATATGATTGCAGGAACTTGGCCCAGAAATGTTCTTGACATGATCAAAGAAGTCTGTGGAGTCATTTTACCCAAAATAATAGGTGAGTTGACATGACAGTAACCAACGCTGGTCCAATTTTTGTCTACGACTCTATGAGGAGCTTCCTTTCGTGTGCATCAAAGGGTGGTTTTTGATGTTTTTTTTGTGTT